GAATTCGAACCCGCCACCTTAGGTGTATGTGGCTGGCGCCTTAGCCGCTTGAGCCACAGGCGCCGAGCCAATTCTCAGATCTTTTGATGAACATTACTAGGATAAACGGTGAACTCCGGAGACTATTACAGAAAGAAACATTCCCTCTGACAGATAGGAGTTCAAACTGCCACAAATAGTTCTTCAACATCTGCAGCCATTCAGCAGCCAAAATTATGCAATCAGGCAAGGCAGTAGGTAGGGGGTGGCTCTAGAAGGGTTCTCAGATCACCTCCTGAAGCCAAAACACTAAGAGGTTAACTGTGAGGAACATAAGACTGGCTTTCACAGGAAAACAACACAAAACACACAATAAAGAAGTCACAGGCCAATAAGGGGTGGAAGCTTCATCTTTCTCTTCTACCCTTCTTCTAAAGAAAGGATTTGTTATGTAAAATTTGGATTCTGCCAAAAGGCCACAATTAAGGACCAGGAAGCCCAAAAGTTTCCTTAAAAGGAAGAAAAAAATAACAATACAATAACACAAAACCTAGAGCAATACCTGAAAATCTGCCAAAGTCTACAACTGGAGGCATGATGTGACCCCTAAAGGCCTCCTAGCTTAATGGACCTTGACTCTTGGGAACCTCAGCTGGCATCTAGCCAAGCCACACTGTCCTCCTCTCCTACATGGCCCTGGTGACTGCCCTAAGCTTGAAACTCTCAGCTCCAGTGCCTGGACACCTTCCTCATACCCCAAGGACAGGGTTGCCATTTTCATGCTTCCAGATGGCCCATTTTCCTCAAGGACATTTCTGTCGGCAGCAGAGAGGTCAACCTGACAACACTCCTCAAATAAATGATGAATCTAAAGCAAACAGATGTAAAAACAGACAACAGAATATTTCCTTCACTCATTTGTCACACCGGCCAGGGGAAAAAAGCACCCTAAAAATATGCGTTAGATATGTGGCAGGACAATTCTGAATTCACCTTCTAGGAGGAGCCTAACTCACTCTTGTGTTCATTCTTTTGTCTTTTGTGTTGTTCTTTTACTTCTTGCAAAACCAACTCTTCGTTGGCCCTGAATCAAGGCCAGCAGTTTGCTGAAGCTGTTGGTTTCAAGCAGGCACCTAAAGAATTATCTTTCTGGCTCGGCGCCTGTGGCTCAATCGGCTAAGGTGCCAGCCACATACACCTAAGGTGGTGGGTTCGAGTCCCCAGTCCGGGCCTGCCAAACAACAATGATGGCTGCAACCAAAAAATGGCCGGGCGTTGTGGCGGGCGCCTGTTGTCCCAGCTACTTGGGAGGCTGAGGCAGGAGACTCACTTGAGCCCAGGAGTTGGAGGTTGCTGTGAGCGTGATGCCATGGCACTCTACCCAGGGGGATAGCTTGAGGCTCTGTCTCAAAAAAAAAAAAAAAGAATTATCTTTCTATGGTCTGTTGGCCATTTCAGAAGTTTGGAAATGTAATGGTCAATTAATTAGAAAGAAACAGTATGAGTCATTGGTGATAGATGTAGGCCAGTATGTATTTGTAGTCTTAATACTGGGGTTCCAAAATATCTATAAATTTTTTTTATATTTATCTTAAGAGAATATTTAAGTTATTCATTACAATTATAGTGCTGTTAAATCTTAATTATAGCTCCCCAAAATTACCTTGGGTTTTTACCCAAAATAAAAAGATAATTCCACAGTATGAACTTCCCTCTTCCCTCAAGTATTATCCTTTTGTATAGTTAGGGCCTTAACTTGTATCTTTTAAACTTCATTCAAATTAGAAGCTTACTTTTTGCAAAAATGAAAAACAAAACAAAACAAAAAACCAACACTACAAAATCTCCCCACACAACAATCTTGCTTATACACTACTTCTGCAATTTTCCCCAAAGCTCTCTGTTCCTCACAGGATCCTAACGTCTTAGTACACATAATCTGCCCCAATACCAATTTTAAGTCCCCATTACTCCCTCTCTATACCCCTCATTTCAGCCAAATAAAAGGTCTCCCAAACGCTGATGTTCCTAAGCCCTTTTGCCAGAACCCCCCAGGAGGATACACTGGCACCTTGCACACTCAGTAGGCGCTCAACTCTCTTGAAGGCTGACCTCCAGACAGGTTCTCTGATGAAAACCAGTCAGGTAGACAGGAAGGAAAGCCCTGGCTCCAAAACCATCCTACCACCTAGTAAATGTCCCACCACACACAGCATTTAGAGTATCTAGTCACCCAAGAACCTCACCCAAACTACAGTTACTGAGTTCTTCCTAAATGTAAACCCTTGCAAAAAACATAAAAGGTAGGAGGCACAAGTTACCACAGCTGAGTGTAAGGTATTGTGCAGGTACTTGGAGTGCATGTCTCTATGTAAGCAGATATTTGTGAGCAATAGAAGACACAGGGACAGGACAGGACTTTACCAAAAGCCCAGAACATACTTAAGGCGTGTAACTTAACATCCATGCTACATGGAAAGAAATTCACTTGGAAGTAGGGCTACTTGAGGGCACTGCCTGGCAGAGAATGGAAGGACACAAAGGATGAATTACACACGGAGCCCCAAAATCTAAATTCAAGGGGCTCAAGTTCCAGACCACAGAAAGCCAGTGTGCAGCCCACTCCTCAGCTCGGTGGTGCTTCCCATTACAGGACAAGCCGGAGCAAGAACTGTCTGATGACTGGCAGTCTTGCAGATTACTTGCCCCAGGGCAGCAAGCGTTTGCGTGTCCTGGTCTCACTCTGTACCCAGCACCGCGATCTGAAGTCTGGCTCAGAATGAGGGTTTCTCAGAATCTCCGTGTCAAACTCATCACCAATATTTTTAGTAGTTGTGTCAGACGGCATCAAGTGAAGGTGCCATCATTATTAAATCTTCGTCTGTTATGAGCATTTGTTTTCCAACAACCACGGCCCTTAGGACTTTTCTGCATGCAGGCTCGGTTCCAAGGTAAGGGTTCCACAACGTGCAATCGCTACATGGACCGCTACGACCATAAGCTGCTGGGCGTGTTAAGCACACAGCTCTCACGAAGGACAAGGTTAAACGTAGGTACCTTAGATCCAGCAGCCCCAATAAATACTAGGGATTTACCCAGAAAGTGAGGTGCGAACAAGGATAGCCCGCACAGCATTATCTGTAAGAAGGAAAGAGGGGCTTCTGCAGGTGAAAACAGACGGAAGCGACTCCAAGGCACGACGTACAGCAAACGGCAAGGGACCGCGCGGTGTGAAGGACAACGCAGAGGGCCCGCCCCCGCGCCCGCAGTACCTGCACCAGAGGCTGGGCCCAGCGAGCCCGGCAGGGACTTTGGGAAGGCCGCGTGCCCCGGCCCCGGTGCCCCTGGGGCCCCACAGACCGAGCGCGGCCACCGACCGCCAGCCCCGCAGCGCCATATTGCCGCAGCCGGTGACCTCCAGCCGGCGCCGCGCTACAGGCCCCGGCCGGGACCCGCCCCGCGAGCTCCCGGGCCCGCCCCTGAGCCCGCCCCGCGCACCCTTGGCCCCGCCCCCACACGCCCAGTTCGGGCCCCGGAGCGTCTATCCCGCACTGGGGCAGTTTCCTGGTCCAGTCTCTGACCTCTCGCCTGGGAGGCCAAATCAGGAGTCTGCATTTATCTACCCTGTGCTTCCGCTTTCTTTCCACAGGGAAAGTGATAACTAATACTTCCTGAGGGCTTCTTCCAGTCAGACATTACATTTACACCTGGTCTTCGCGAGACATCGCTGGGAAGGTACCAGTACCATCCCCGCTTGAGAGAAACAGGTTCACAAAAGCTCACGCCTTGGCCAGGTGTGTGGAAAGTCGGCGGCACACCAGGCGAAAGTTTAGTCCCAAACGCTATGTGCGCCGTCACCCTGACAACCAGCCGACCGCCCGCTGCTCCGACGCTCCCGGCCTGCCACGCGCTGCGCCGGAAGTGAGCGAGCATTTCCGGCGGCTATCCCCGCGGCGCTGACGGCTCTGTAGTGCCACTGTTCTGGGGTCTTCCTGCTGACATGAAGGACGTACCGGGCTTCTTACAGCAGAGTCAGAGCTCCGGACCGGGGCAGCCTGCTGTATGGCACCGTCTGGAGGAGCTCTACACGAAAAAGTGAGCGCCGAGGCGCGGGGTTCTGGGAGCTGAGCGGGCGCTCAGACCGGAGTAGGGTAGCTGAGGAGGCGGGGATGTGTGGGGAGAGTGGGGTAGGGCCAGGCCGGGAGATGGGCTGAAGAACCCGAGGGCTGAGGGGGAGGAAAGGTGGAAGCCCACGAGTACAAACCGGCAAACCTGCGGCCAGGATGTTGAGGTCTCGGGCCCGCTGCTTTCCTGACCCAGGAACTGCGACTGAGGCTGGTCTTACTGAAAGGGTTCAGGGATGACCTGTGATTTTAGCTCTTAATTCCAAACGAGCAAACACACTCAGGGCTAGGTTGGCACCCCTTTGGGAAACAGATCCCGGTGACTTGTACTTAGGCTTGTTATAGTGTGACGCTATCTACAGTTGTCTTTCTCATTGTCTAGAGCGGACAGACCTGAGGCCAGTGCAGAACCTCGTTGGTTCTGCGACTAATCGGACAGGGTCCAACCACTTCTCCCTCTCCCATTGTCCCTACTTTCCATTATATTTCACACTGGGTTTTGTGCCCCTAGAGAGACCTTGGAGTTTGGGAGTGTTTAGAAACAGATTGAATTTCAGAACAATTAAATTGTTGCTACCAAGTACCAAGCTCTTTTAAAATGAACGGTATAAATTGCTGTCTTTGGGCTAGAGCTGATCCATAGGAAAATAACGCCTCCTGTAGTAACCTTCCTGTTAACAATTCTAGCGTTTAACATATTGCCTTTCACTTAGATATTCAATACGTTTTGATGATGTTCAGCATTTCCCAGCTTTCTGCTGTTAGCAGTTTTTGAGAGCAAATTACCAGTGTTTGGAAAATAATTGCTTGTGTTGGGTAGCACTTTGTATTTCTTAAAGCATTTGTCTGCAATATTAAATATTAGCTTTTGGTTTTGGGATTAAGTGCTATGTCACCGTCCATACTAATACTCAATTGTATGTATATAGTATATACTGATAGCAAAAGATAAATGCAAGTCACATTGACCACCTCTTGTAATTGCAGAAGTCAAATGTGACTTGAGTATTACAAATTTAATACAGTTTTTTCCTTTCTTAAAATGTGTACACATTTTTTTGGCACCCTCTGTATGTTAGCTCACTTAATCTTTCATTCTCCCATCTACAGATGAGGAAACTGAAGCTCAGTTAAATCAGTACCTGAATTATTCAGCTAGTAAGTAGAAGAGCTAGAGTTTCAACTTAGATCTCTATGATCCCAAAGTTCTTGTTGCCAACTGAACTTCACAGTAACCCTTTGAGATAATATAGGAAGGTGTTCCCCATCTTATAGATGGGAAAATAGAGTCTTAAAGAAGTTAGATGACATAATTGAGTATTGGAGCCAAAAAAAGTCTTGAGGTTTATTAGCATCTGTGTTAGCATTTTTTCTGCTACATAATAGAGACAAGTTAGTACAGGTTTAGTATCCCTTATCTGAAATGCTTGAGGACAGAAGTGTTTTGGATTTTGGAATATTTGCATTATATAATTACTGGTTCAGCATCCCTGATCCAAAAATCTGAAATCCGAAATGCTGTAATGAGCATTTCATTTAAACCTTGTATTGGCATTCAAAAAGTTTTGAATTTTGAAACATTTCTTACTTTAGAGTTTTGGATTAGAGGTGTTCACCCTGTATTTGTTACTTGATAGGACTGTCAAGGCTGAAGGTGTCTGTGACTGGATATTAGTTTATAAGTCTTAAAGACTTTATGTTTTTCAGGTTATGGCATCAGCTGACACTTCAGGTGCTTGATTTTGTGCAGGATCCATGCTTTGCTCAAGGAGATGGTCTCATTAAGGTCAGCAATTTACCTCGTTAAGTCAGACTATATCAATGTGCTCAGAACTTTTTAAAACAATAGATGAGCTTTATAACAATAATAAGCTGTACCAATTATTCAACTGTCGCTTTGTGTTGGGTGCTGTTCAAAGTACTTTATTTACTTTTAATTTTATAACAATATTGGGAGATAAGTACTACATTTATCCCATTTTGTTAAATGGTAAAACAAAAGTAAGAGTTTAAGTAACTTGGCCAGCGTGGTGGCTCATGCCTGTAATCCTAGCACTTTAGGAGGCCGAGGTGGGTGGATTGCTTGAGCTCATGAGTTCAAGACCAGCCTGAGTACTCATCTCCACTAAAAAATAGAAAAACTAATGCAAGAGAATCGCTTGAGGCTCAGCTAAGGCACCAGCCACATACACCTAAGGTAGCAGGTTCGAATCCAGCCCAGCCCCCCAAACAACAATAACGGCTGCAACCAAAAAATAGCCAGGCGTTGTGGCGGGCGCCTGTGGTCCCAGCTACTTG